CTAATGTTTTTGTTTTGTTTTTTCTCCCTGTAGTTGTTTGTTTTGACAGGATCAGGGAGTGCAGTGACAGGGGACACAGCCAGGTTAAGTAGGAAAGCAAGACTGAGGGATAGTTCAGGAGGGGCATCTTGTGGGCAGGGAATCCCTTCAAGAGATTTTTTTCTATTCCTTCTAGTATATTTCATTTTTAAAGGTGTCTCTCAGAAAAGTTGGAAGAGGGTAAGAGAAATGTATGCGATGTCATGTTTCAAATTTGTTTTGCAAATTATTGCCTGATCTCTTATGTCATTTAAAAATGACTCCTTCAACTGCATTGATAGGACCTGCAGTGTTATTTAGATTTTTCATTGCCTTTGATTTTTTTCCAGTTTCTTTTTAGTCTGCCTATTCTTTTGTACTTAGCTTCCTTGCTCCCCTTTTCTTGATGTGAAGACCCACGAAGGTCTTGGTGGCATTAATTTCAGAAACACAAACTTTCAGTGTCTGTCTGTGTTCATGACAATTGATTAAGGTGGCTTTTGTCAACAAGATAGGTTGTCAAGGGCAGGGCAGTTTTAAACTTGCACCTTCCGCGATCTGTGATTACTCTTGCATGTTTCTAAACAATTCCAAACTTTTCCCCTTTCTATTCATAACTCATACCTTACAGCATAGTCATATGTTCTAAATCATTATTAGTCATTTCCTTTTTCCCGTTGTCCTTTCCAGACAATTTTTGCCCAAATCAAACAAAAGAGTGGGAGAGAGACAGTGGCTGCCAAATTGTACTGCGTCTATGCAATGAACTACTGAGCACTGGGGTCAATGCAGAGATAAGCATCAGACAGTTTGCCCTAGTAATGCTTGTGTTATTGCATTGTAAAATGTGCACTTTCTTTTCTCCATCCCTCCTTTCAACAGCATAAGAAGAATTGGGTAATTTCGTCTAAGGACATAATTACTTTCCGTAAGGCGCTGATGAATCCCATCACAGCTCTTCAGTTTCAACACTTTGTATCCCTGAAAGGTGATTTATTGGGGAATGGAGTGATCTTCTGGCAGGAGGTACAGAAATACAAGGTACAGCACTTAAGGAATGGAAGTAATGCAGTTACTCAGTGACCAGGACATTTATGTCTAAAGCAACCATTTCAGAGTAGGAGATCTAAAGATGCTGACTCCTGGACTCTTTGAGACTTGTCCTATTACTTAGCTAAATATCAAAACACAACCTTGGTGACTACATAGCTTTTTCTCAAATATCCCATTCCTTCCCCTTTGTCTTGTTTATACCTCTGGAATGTCTTCCTAGTCCTCCACTCAAGTGATAATCAGGTCTGAGCCTACTGCCCAGTTTAGATGGCAGTCTCTAGGCTACTTAAGCACTGTCATTCTGTGGTTGTCAAATTCAACCCAGGATAGGATACTGTGGTTTTCTCCAAATAAGATAAACAGTCTGGCAAGGAATCCTGATCCATTCTGTAGCTGTAGACTGTAGCTGTTCAAGTATAATATCCAAACCATAATTCCTAATTGAGGCTACATGATTTGGAATATGTCCTCACCTGATTCCCACCCTTCCATGCTTTGAACTCCTCTTCCCTCCAGGATTTGGTTTAACCTTGGTATTATTTTATAAAAGAGTCTACATTGCAATAGCAAACTAGGATAAGACCTTGAACCAGAACTGATTTGAAATATTGGTTTGTTCTCTGCTGTTTGTTGTGCTCTTGACCTTCTAGCATAACCTTCCAACTGCCCGCTTTGTTTATGCAGAGTGTATGGCAATTTATGAACTTTTCATCTGACATCTTGACTGTGACGCCATCTTCTGTGCTTACAGTAGTTGATACTTCAGTATGTTGTGCTTCAGAAAATTAACTTACTGTAATTGTTCATTGTTAAGTTATCCATTAGTTAGTGAATCTTATACACATATTCAAGTTTTTTGCTTAATTTTGTGATAACTGCATTGATCTGTCTGCAAGAAATTCTACTTGCCTGTAAGCAAGAACTGGTAGGACACTAAAATAAATGATAAGAAAGACAAAAATATGTCTGGATAGTGGACATGGCAGTACCTGGAGACAGCAGACTAGAAGAGAAAGAACTGGATTAAATAACAAAATGCAATGACCTAAAAATAGAAGTAGAATGATTGTGGCAAAAGAAAACAAAGGTAGTACCAATAGTAATAGATGTCTTGAGGCAAACCTGAAACAACTGGAGCACCACTTGAACATCTTGAACACCATCGGCATTGACAAAATCACCATCAATTGCAAAAGTCTGCTTTACTTGGAACATACCAGGCATGTCAAACTGCTGACCCGTGGGCCGGATGCGTCACGCTGAAACCGTGCCCACCCCATTGCCGGCAATGTGGAAAAAGTCGCAATATGTCATGTGACGTCACTTGACATCGCGAGTTTGACATGCCTGGCTTATACTGACAATATCTTTAACATCTTCAAAAAGACAGCATCTGCCTATCCCAGGTGCTTGGGAAGGACTTGATACAGTAAACCAAATCTGGTGTAAACAGCTGGCTGATTGTGCAATGAACCATAATAATTAAGGATTGAGCCCCCAATTCCACCCAATGTTCAGTGGGGTAACTGGGAGCTGGTCTTCCTGACCGCAGGTGATATGGGGTGGGAGGGGAAAGAATAGCTGGGAATCCATCAACTGTTGCCCTGAAATGTCCCTATATCAAACTGTATGAGGGTAGTAACATTGCCTAGCTTCATTGCTGAGGCCCAATAATAGGAAGCCAACGAGGCAGTGCAATTTATGTCAGTATGTTTCCTCTGAATTCAAGGACAAGAGAAAAGAAGATCAATGTAACTGACTATGCAAAAGAGCCCCAAAATAGATTCTCTCTCTCTCTCTCTCTCTCTCTCTCTCTCTCTCTCTCTCTCTCTCTCTCTCTCTCTCTCTCTCTGTGTGTGTGTGTGTGTGTGTGTGTGTGTGTGTGACACACACACACACACACACATGGGAGAAACTAGTGTGAATTCATTATCGTAGACATGTCTTGATACTATTAAGTGTAACATTCAAACAGTTCATTAGTCCTGTGCTGGAGTGGTGGCAAATTCACCTATCTATCACACACAGTTTGCAATATGTGTTATCATTTACCACAAGAACATGCTTGGCATAGAATCAAAATATATAGTTAATAGTACAGTATGGCTAAATAATATGAAATGAATAGATAAAAAAACCCATCACTGAAGGTTACTGAAGTACACATTGCCATCATCCTCATCAGCTGATTAACTTCCTTAGGGCTGAGAGTTATAATTCATACAACATCTTAAAGGTCACCTATTGGCCATTAATACCCTAAAAGGTCTTCTGAGAATTAGATTTTTCTCTCTGTTCTTAATAATTATGGTTGCAGAGCCGGTCCAAAAGGAGTAGGGAGAGAGATCTTTCCTTCTAAAATTAGTTTTTATCTGATTACTTAAAAAACTTTGAACTTGCCTACGTACTGAGATCTTTTTCCGAGAATTTCTTTAGGTTCTTGCCAAACTGAAGTAGGTGATGAGGACTGAGGAAGATTTTCACATACTGAGGCTCTGATTCTGAAATGGTTCCCTGGGAAATTTTTGTAAAGTGAGTTGGCCTGAGAAATAGAACCTGAAGAATGGCTAGGGAATTGTATTTTAGACATACATCAAGCTAACTATCTAAATAATTTGCATCAGCTTTCTTTGACCTGGCGCTTTCCAGATACGTTGGGGTGGCAGTTCCCAGAATTTCCCGCCAGCTGTTGGCCATACAGATTGGGAATGATGAAAGTTGCAATCCTAACACATCTGGAACTCATCAGGTTGAGGAAAACTGATTTACATGTTGACTGTGTAATTGCATATATACGCTGAATGTTTTGTTTCTTCATTTTCAGGACCTGTGCCATTCTCACTGCAGTGAATCCATTATTCAGGATAAGATCACAACCATTATCAACTGCTTTATTAATTCTGCCATTCCACCTGCTCTTCAGATTGACATACCTCAGGAACAAGCTCAAAAGATCATTGAACACAGGAAAGAGCTAGGCCCATATGTGTTTAGAGAAGCACAGGTACAGAATAAGTTTGTGGGTAATCATGCCTTTTGTGTAGTTTTTATGTCCCTATTACGGAATCTAGATTGGCATACTCTAGTTTGATATTATGGCATTAAAAATTAAAATTAAAAATATGATCCAAGAAATGCATAGAGATTCCATCTGTGTACAGGTAGTCATTGACCTACAACAGTTCATTTAATGACCATTTGAAGTGACAAAAGCACTGAAAAAAGTAACTTATGACCACTTTTCGCACTTAGGACCTTTGCAGCATCCCCCTGATCACATGATCAAAATTCAGATCATATTTATGACTACAGTGTCCCAAGGTCATGTGATCCCCTTTTGTGACCTTCTGACAAGCAAAGTCAAGGGGAAAGCCAGGTTCACTTAACAGCTGTGTTGCTAACTTAACAACTGCGGTGATTCACTTAACAACTGTGGCAAGCAATGTTGTAAAATGGGGCAAAACTCACTTAAAATGTATCCTTTAACGACATAAAATGTATGCTCCATTGTCCTAAGTCAAGGATTACCTGTACATAAGATTTTGTCACATTCAAATATTGTTGAGGGCCACTTCCAACTTTAGTCTCTGCTGATTCCTAAGAAATACTCTAGAACAGGGGTGTCAAACTGCCGGCCCGGATGCGTCATGCGGAAGCTGTACCCACCCCACTGCCAGCAATGGCAAAACTCTCCAGATACGTTGCGTGACGTCACATGACATCGTGAGTTTGACATGTCTGCTTTAGAAAGTGTATGATCTTTCAGAGTTGTTCAATGCAGTACACAAGAAATTTTTGATAAGAAAAAAAAATCCTTCCACTTACGACTGTAACAATCTTCCCACGGTCATGGAATCAAAATTCAGGGGTTCAGCAATCTGCATTTATTTATGATGGTTGCAGCATCCCAGGGTCATGTGATCATTATTTGCAACCTTCCAAGCTGATTTCCAACAAGCAAAATCAATGGGGGAAGCTGGATTCACTTAACAACCATGTGTTTCATTTAACTGCAGTAATTCACTTAACAACCATGGCAAAAAATGGAATAACACTGGGCACAACTCACTTAACAACTGCCTTTCCTAGCAATGGAAATTCTGGTCCCAGTTGCGGGTCATAAGTCAAGCACAATCTGTACTTTCATAACTCTTTTGGGTCTGTGATGTAAAGGAAACAATCTCTCTTGCAAAGAGATTATATCACTTCAAAAACCTCACAGTTTCTGCAAAGTTGTTTTTGAATTTTTATGGAGGCAAAAACTTAAGCAAAGCTTCAAAAGAGGAACCATTCATCTGTCAAAGTTGAATATTCTGGACAACAATTTGGATTTAAAAGTAGTTCTGATGCAATTTGTTTGGTTTTAGAAACCTCATATTAAAAACATAAACAATTCACCAGTTAATGTTTTTATTAATGCAAGACATTATAATTTTTTTAAAGGAAGGCTTTGAAATTGTGGCTTAAGAAATTTTTCATAAACCATAAACTCATTCTGATGGGAAGCATGTGCCTGTCTGAAGTAAAATATTAAAAGGCAGTATGTACTGTACAATGCTGGGAGTTTGTGCTGTGCATTAGAAGCATTTATCGTCTGCAAATATTCTAATTGTCTGCAGTACTGTTTGTTTCTGTGCAGTATTGCATTCTAAGACACCCTTTTTATTTCCCTGCTTCAGATGACTATTTTTGCGCTTCTCTTTAAATTTTGGCCAAAGTTTTGTGAATTTCGAGGCAATTTGATTGATGAGGCTATTTTGCCTTGCTTGGAAAGAGAAAAGAAGATACAGAAATTTAAAAAAGCAAGAGAATTAGAAGAAAAGGTGAGAAGACCAGATTAACCTCACATGTACCAGTTAAACAGTAATGTGAATAAGTCAAAGTAAGATAAACTCTCAAAATAGTACAGCTATTTTATATCTGATTCAAATCCTGCAGAAGTGAAATCAAAAAAAATGCCCACATTATAAATGGCATTTCCCTATTTAGTATTCATTTATTACATTTGATTTGTGGCGCTGTAGGAGTTTAAGACAGAGAGCAATATTTTATAATGAAACATACTTTGAAAGTTTGCTGATCTATGACAACCTAGATGAAAAGACCTTTTGATGCCAGCTGTCCATAAATCTGCTTTCTCTAAATCTGATCCTTTAAGATGCGTGGGAATGCAATTCACACCATACACAATGTTATAATTCAGTTTGCACTGAGGAAAGCTGCTTTAAGAATCCTTATTCTTGTGAATTCTCCCAAGAATGTAATTCTATATTTACAGAAAGTTGCTATATGCTGTATGCAGAGGATCCACTACACAAAATATTATTAAAAAACTATTAACCAAGTGACCCCACCCCAAATGTTAGGAGCCCAATTGGAAAGGGGCAGAGGTAGATAGATCCCAGCTCATAAAAACTATAAAACCTCTATTCATAATGGAAAGGAAGCCAGGAGAGAACAGGGCTTCATATCATATGTTGTGGAACGAAATGATGATGGAAGTGAATGTCGCTGGATTCTCACAACCAACCTGACAAGCAACATATCCCCTATTTTAGATATGGCAAGCCAAATCTTCTCTTCCATAAAAGAAACGGTCTGTCATTTGACATTCTGTTTCTGAGCTCAGGGCTTCTCCTCAGTGCTAATCATGGAGGACAAGGCCGAGGGTCATCACCTGAGGAAAAAGGGGAAAAAAAACTCAGTACGAGTAGTCCTTACTTAAGGACCACTTGTTCAGTGGCCATTTGAAGTTATGACAATGCTGAAGATAGAGATTTACAAGCAGTCCTCAAAGTTGCAACAGTCACAGTGCCCCTGGGGTATTGCAACTTGGGCACTTGGCAACCGGCATGGATTTATGACCAATTGCAGTGGTCACATGATTGTCATTTGAGACCTTCCCCACCAGCTTTTGACAAGCAAAGTCAATGGGGCAGCTGGCAGGAAGTCACAAATCGTGGCCACAGTGCTTAATGCTATGCATGATTTGATTAATGACAACAACCTGAACTAATGTTGTAAGTTGGTATGGTCACACTTAATCACCACCATCATTTAGCGACAGAGTTGCCAGTACCTAGGGCAGTTAATAAGTGAGGACTACCTGTAGATCTTGCTTGAACCAGAGGTTGAAGGGAATTCAGAGAAAGCAGTCTGGGATCCTATAGAAATCCCTGAGTAACTGGAAGAATCCATGATAGTCCCACTGCAAGCCAAGGCTAGAGCCTCAAAAGGATCTTTCTTGGGTTCCTTGATAATCTTTCTAACTACATCCCAAAATACTTCCTTTATTTGTAATTATTTTGGAAATCTTTCTCAACAGGAGTCTCCTTATAAGAGAAAAGAGTTATTCAAGAGAAGTCTGACTAGATCCAAATCCTAAAACAAAAACAAAAAAGCACATAAAGTGGATTCTCAAAAATATACTGAAATATACTGTCCAATAATTTATTTTACTTCAGAAATAATCAAATATTTATTTCATTGCTAGGCACAAAGGAAGAAAAGTTCTATTCCTGGGAAAACAAGTTCAGCTACTGATTCAAAAATGAGTATAACTGAATTTTCACCATCTCTGAGCTTCTCTGGATTGGGCCGAGAGGTAATTGAATTATGTTCTATCAGTCCTTCCTGAAGCACAATGTGGTAATCCAGGGATGATTCAGTGGATTTGGGAAACAGATTGAAAGCCATTTCTGATGTGCTACCAGTTTCATTTTTAAGAAATTGCTATTGTTTAAGTATGGGCAAATGAATTTGCTAGCATTCATTAGGACCCCTTCCCTTTATTTTGGAAAATGGGGCAAACAGCTGGACATGTCTGAAATTCATATCAATTTCATTTTATATGAATGTCCCTCATGACAGGGGCTGCATATTGCTAAATGACAGTGGGAGCTTTGTTTAAAAAACATGTAAATTAAAAATATTGAATAAACATGTTGAAGTTGTTATTAATTAAAAAAAATAAAAGCCCTTTTTAAATTGCAAAATGAAATAAGGAAAGACCTGTTATCTCTTGAATAATGTGAAAATACTTATGAGAAGAGACAAATAGCACTGGCAAATATCTGAACGTATGTTTGATACTGGCATATTCAAGCTGTAAGTGCAGATTAATTCAGGCAGGCTATAAATATAAATAAAGTACTGATTAGATATGAAATTCAGATATTTCACAACTGCCTTGGAGGAACTTGGCTTTTCAACCTCCTCAAATGTCTGTATTGGAAATCCTCACTTCTTATTACAAGTGGTATTAGGAGACCACATGAATTATGTTGCCCCACCGATAAATAATGCAATACTGTAATAACTTTATTCTCTTTTATTAAGATTTCAGCTTTCTGAAGGTAAGAACTGCTAACATTATCTTAGGATGTAAAAAAGGATTGCCCATTTATGGATCCACTATCATACCCACCTAACTTGTTTGCTTGATTTTTTAAATCTCTTGTAGTTTTTCTGGTCTTATTCAAAGTACATAGAAGCTCTTGAACAAGAAAGGGTCCTCCTGCAGATTCAAGAAGATTTAGAGAAAAAATCAGTAGCAGCATCTGCTTATTCAGGTCAGCTTTTCATCAATGAGAAAGGTTTTTGTGGGTCCATTTAACATTGATTTTCTTACTATGTGAAGCACAACAATATTATGTTTGTTCTCTGAAGATAATAAGCTTTATTATGGTTTTCATCTTTCTTTCTTTCTTTCTTTCCTCCCTCCCTCCCTCCCTCCCTGTCTTTCTCTCTTTCATTTCCCTATTTCTCTCTTTTTTTCCAGGTCTTTCATCTTTCCTCGCTCTGAAAAGTGATACAGCCATAAGCTCTGACAAATTTAGTCCCCCAGCAAACTTCAACACAGCTTTTGTGAAGCAACGTTCATTCCCACCTAAAGATACTGCAAGTATGTCTCCAGGGGCTCAATTAATTTTCCATGTTGATAACAGATAATATCTCTTCATCAGATGCTCAGTTTGTATAATAATATAAAAATGAAATGCCTTGAGGATTCAGTCCAGGAGGAGCACGCAAGTATAAGCAGCCCATACTCCTTGATGTGCCAATAGTTTTTTCAGCACTTCATACTTGGTGTTTCTTTCCTTCTTGCCTACATACTGTAGGAGATTTGCCCTTCCAGGGAAGCCTTTTCATCAGCTTGCCTAAAAACATTCTTGTTCCTTCCATCCCTGCTCCTCTAACTTCCTACTGTTGTCATTCTACCTGCAGTGGAGAAATGATCCTCCTGCAGTAATTGCTTCCCCTTCTCCTTGTTTGGCCTTTGTCCATTTTCAAAAGAATGGTTGACATTGGTATTTTTATCTTAAATTATAGTTCACCATTGCACAGTGATGTCATATAAATACCCCAAGATTCTAGTCCACAAATATTAGTATTCTTGCTTTTTTCAGAGTTCTACCAAATGTTAACAGTTTCAGGGCCCAGTTTCAGTGAGAAACAGTTAATCATGTTCTTAATATGTTTACTGAATATTTTTTTTAGACTTGATCTATTATAACCCTAATTGTACCTAAATCACAGCAAACACAGAAGGCTGGGAATTGAAGAAGCAGATGTTATTTTTCTGTGAGCTACCCATATATGTGGGAATTAATCATTCATAATCCTATCATTTAAACACAATGATTGGGCATATGAACATTCTTCATTGCAGATTAATTCCATAATTTCAACCCAATCTTTGTAGTTGAACCATGCTTCTGATTTGAAAATACACAGAAGCACAAGAATACCACCTGTCTGTAATTCTTTAAAGTAACTGCCTCTGTTCTTGAGATCATGTGGCAGTTTTGAAGGCAGAAAATATTTCAGATAAACTCAAACTCAAAGTCAGATAAACCCATGCTTCACTTACCTCCAGACTGAATTTCTGCAACGTATATTTCTTGGGGCGATCTTCAAAAAGGACAGCAGTCCCCAACCTTTGCGGTTTGGTGGCCTGGCTGGAAGGGGGGGGGAGAGGGGGACGGGCTGCACAAGCAGCAGGCCGGTGCACATGTGTGCACAGTTCAACTTGTGCAACTGGCAGGCTGGCATGCATACGCGCACATGCAGCTCAACTTGCACGAGCAGCAAGCTGGTGCACATGTGCATGCACGAGCACCTCAGCTTTTGCAAGGTGACCTGTGACATGCATGTGCACATGCGCCAACTTGCCGCTCACACAAGTTGAGTTGCGTGCATGTATGCCAGCCCGGAACTGAATAGGCCATGGCCTGGGAGTGGGCTGTGGCCCAGGAGTTAGGGACCCCTGATCTAGGAGGCATCTCCAAGAATATGGGTAGGATCTTGCAATTAGATTCAGTGTACAGATAGTCCTTGACTTACAACAGTTCATTTAGCGACCATTCAAAGTTACAATGGCTCTGAAAAAAGTGGCTTATGACCGTTTTTCACACTATTGTTGCAGCATCTCCATAGTCACGTGATCAAAATTCAGATGCTTGGCAATTGACTCATATTTATGACGCTTGCAGTGTCCCAGGAACATGTGATCACCTTTTGCAACCTTCTGACAAGCAAAATCAATGGAGAAGCCAGATTCACTTAACAACTATGTTATTAACTTAATAACCACAGTGATTCACTTAACAACTGTCTTGCTTAGCAGCAGAAATTTGGGGCTGCATTGTGTTCGTAAGTTGAGGACTACCTATACAACAGTCCTCCAAGACCTGCGTTGGTTTGTTTCCTAGCACAATTCAGAGGGTTAACTATTATTTTAAAAAATTTAAAGGGTTTTGATCCAGGATATCTTAGGGGGTCACCTCATCCTGTATTGCTGCCCAGTCTTCTAGATCTTATGGAAAAGCCCTTTTCTGTGGCAGAGATGTTTTTGACTGAGGCAAGAGAAAATATTTTCTAATTAAGCGTTTGGAATCCTTACCTTGGAAGGCTCCCTTGGCTCATTATTTGCTGGTATTTCACCATCAGGCCAAGAATTTTCTTTTTTAAGCAGATATTCTCTCCACAGGTCACATACCCATTAGAAAATGCTTCTCTTGTCTCTTCTCTAATGATTACCTTTCTATATTTGCTTTTGTTAATAGTTTTAGTTTTATTTTTGAGGTGATTTCTATTTAATATTTTCTATTTAAATTTATTACTGTTTTTTAAATGCTGTAAACTGTTAAGAGCAGATAACATATGTACTGGAAAGGGATAGAAAATTTTATATTAAATAAATTAAACATATTCACAAATTTAGAAACGTCAGCTGGAATTACCTGTGAAAAGGCAAAATAACTTATTCCTCTAGATTTCTTTGGAACTGTAGGAATTGTGTTCATTTTCTGTCTTACAGGCATTGTTTTTTGTTTCTTAAATATTAATGCCATGTATCTTTCCCTCCCAACCAGAACCATCGAAATTTTAAGGAAACTGTTGAAGAAATTATGGGTTTGCATTCACAGTGGGACAATTTATCAGAAATAAATGAACATAACTCACTGGTTTGCTCTATTTTTCAGAAAAGATATGTAACCAAGAGAAGAAAGAAACTAATTCTGGTGCATTCAGTGCCAGTGGGACTTTATTCCTATATATTGTAGTATTATAGCCTTCTACAATTTAACAGCTATGTTAGAATACAATTCTTATCATCTGGAGACATCAATTTTACAGTGCCAAATTGGGAATCCTGTGCTATTATATACTTGTTTTTAACGAAGGAAGAATTGTTAATTAATTTACCTACAAAATATTTGATAGGTTTGCAGCTTGTTGACAAGGCCTATATACTTCACTAGGTTTCTGAAATGTAACATGTATTCTTGGGGCTAACTTCAAGGCAATTCCTCTTGTTTTTGCTGTATAGAGGTCTCCAGAACAGGTGTACAAAACATTCCTGGGAACATCAGGGCTGGTCCACAGGTAGAGCAATTTGTAAGCTTCAAAATAGCAACATCTGTGATTCTATCTGCCATATTGTTTCACAGCCACATCTGATTCATATTGTAAATTACAGTGAGAGCTTGAGCTCAGTTGTGGATGATTGCTGCTGAAGGATTCAAATACATTAGTTCTTTCTTCCTTTTGCAATGTTCATGTTAAACGATGAAGTATGTATCAAGAGGGGAAATATCTGTGGCCCACATGTGGTCTTTTTTGATGGTTTCAACATTCTCCAAGAACATGTCATTCCCAAAAGGGAAAAATTGGGACCAAATCCTGCTCCTGGTCCCTCTGGGCATCAAAGAGGAGGAGGAGAAGGAGGAAGAACCACAAGAAAAACAACAAATGAAGCCCTTCTGCAAAATGATTGCCTTCACCTGTTACAGATTATTTGGTTTAGATTCATGATACATCATTTTTTGGCCTTGTGTCTAAGATCAGATTCACCATGCTAGAAATTTGTTTTCTTTGCCATATGTCAAACAACTGCACTCTGGATTGTTTCTTTTCTATAACAAGGATTTATGTCATACATTAAAAAGAAACTCCCATTTAGGTACTTAATTTTTTCTCTAACCAAATATAATATGAAACCAACAATGTGCCCATATTTTAGATTTGGACTATATTTATTTGTATGCAATCCAAACATCAACCCATTAATCCTTTATATGTCCCCCATGATACCTTCAAGCACCTGATAACCAAACAACTTGTTTTTCTCATTCAGTAGCTCCATTCTGAATCAGACTTAGCAGACTTATTATATAAAAGATATAATCCAGACATATGTCAGGGAGGATAAACTGTGCTTGATTGATACTTGGTTTTGCAGAATTGTTTCCACCCACGCAGTAAAACAATGGTTCCCTTGTGGTTTTGATAGAAGTGGTGTAAAGTAGATGTCTTATTTGTCTGTCATAAGAAATATCATTGCTTAATATCACACAGAATTTTGCATGACTGGTTATAATTCATCCCTTGCATTACCATCCCTCAGTTTTCCAGAGTAGTTCACAAACCATGTTAATATTGATTTATCCAATTTACAGTCAGCCTTTCAAACTTAACTGAAAGAGGGAGGAATATAGTGATGATCCAGTCAAGTTGGGGTTTTCTTTGTAGTCTACTTTACTTTAAAGGAGAGAGTGAAACATATAATCGCATGTTTTTATTTGAAAATCAATGATATTTAAAACTTTTTTAAACTTTGGAGTGTGATGCTTTGTGGCATCTAAAGATTAGCAAATCTATTGTGGTTTTCTAAAGAAAAGATATGCTTTTAACATTAATACAGCTGTAATTAAGGTATATTAGGTGTAAAAACATTTTTAATCATAGCATGTGCGTGAATTAGATTACCAAAACAAGGTTAATTGATATGCTCAACAAGAGTTTTATACAGGGCAACTTTTAATAATTATTATATTTGGATTCTGGCACTTTGAGGCTTACACAATTACAAATGAATAATTTTTCATAGCTTGGAGTCCATTTGATCAAATACAATAAAATTATCTTGAGTTTCATAATACAATACATGGAAATATTTGGGGAAAAGTATTTGTAAAGAATGAGGTTAGAAAGAAATGAATGGCAGACAGTAAATACATGGACAGCCATTCACTAATTTGTGGCTTTGTTGACAGGAAGTCATTTTTCACTCTTTTGTGACATTGTGGTTAGTCCTAATAAACGTGTTAATAAACCAGCAGTTTATTATTTTTCTCTTGAATTGTTTCAGATTGTTTTTTGTCTTCATTTCTCCAGAGACGCTTGATATGAAGCCAATCACCAAATTATAATAACCTATGAATATAGGGCATTGCTAAATGACTTTTTTCATTAATGTTTGCATTTCTGGCTAATTCAGTGCAGATTTTAAAAATCAGATTGGCAAGAATATACATAATTTTAAAACTTTCATCTAGTTTAGATCCTATATTTATAAAATATACACTTCAGACTATCTATTAGGCTGTTGTTAGCTTGTGATAGTATTGGGATTATTTGTCAAAGTAATCAATACATTCAGGAATCTTTATTCCCTGTCCCACAAAGGTCCTCTTAGAATGTATTGATACTACCTGAATCACCACTGTTTAAATGTTAACATGTAAGCATCGATAAAGAAAATGTCTGAGTCAACAGTAAATAGATTTCTAACTTTCAGAAAATAGATTTTCACTTATAAAATTGGATTACCATCCCTCTTCATTGTCTGAGCTACGTATCCTCCAACCTACGTTAAATATATTTTTTTCTACTTAATTTTATGCACTTGTTATATTTTTTATTCTTTTAAATATATTTAGTTTGCATTAGTTTTTGCTGTTGTAAATTATAATTAATAAAATCACTACAAAAATAAAGGAAGAACTAAAAGCATAAATCATGATGGAGAAAATCTATGTGGTCGCTAGACATCAGAAGCAACATGATGGAATACAATGAATGAATAAATAAATCATCAGCTTTTAAAATATTTGAATGGCTCTCATATCAGGGAAATTTGTCATTCAGTAAATAGGATCCAGACAGCAAGTTCAATTTCCAGGAAAAGAGAGTGTCTATAAACATTAGGAAGAATTTCCTGACAATTTGATATAATACAATTATAATTTAGACACAAAACAAGGGCAGGAACTGCCCATGAGTCAGATCTAATCTAAAGTTTGGTTGAAGACAGCTCTCTATAAAGAACATCTAGTCTTCTCATGGCACCTTCTTTGATCACCAGAACTTTGTAATATTCTGGCAAATGGACGAAACTGCTTCTTTCTTGAATAGATGACTTTTTGGAATAAATGGAGGTGTCATAAGGATCACAGATTTGGCATACCTTCTGATAACAGGCAGATACTCTGAGATACAAACTGTTCCTCAGACTAGAAAATGAAAAATAGATTCCCAGAGAGAGAATATTTTAAGTTTCAGCTTAATGACCAATGTCAGAAAGTTTCATACATTGGCAGATGGCTCCAATATTTTGATCTCATCCAATTCTGTGCTTTATTGATTTATACAGAGAATAGTGCTTAGTCCAGCTTTCTGAATCTAGAAATTGTCCAGATGTGTGGCCATAAACTGCTAGCAGTGGCCATACTAACAGTAGAATTTTGAGAGTTGCAACTATTTGGAGAATGCTTAAGACTCTTTACTTATAGACCAGATATGAGAAATTCACTTTTATTAAAATAAGGAGTCTTGCATTATCTTAAAAGGTCTAAGCAATTATTACAAAATTAGTTTTTGTAGACTGCAGTCCATTTTTTCAGTTGAAACAAACTGATCGTTGTTTGTCAAGCTCCCAAATAGTCCTGTTCATTTGGGCAACCCTTTCTATGAAGTTTTCTACTTTTTGTCATTTTTTTAAAAACAAAGGAAAGGGACATTTGAAATTTCTCTTTTCTCCTCACCCACAAAGCTTTTGCAAGTCAGTGTTTAAAAATCCAACCTAATGACTAATACTTTCAATAGTTGTGGCAATCACTGGTAACCATCATGTTGCTTCATCTTCATATGGTCCAAAAGTTAGAAAAACCATTCCTGCTTACTTGTTCTTTGCATTCATCATTGTAAGATTACTCCAAAATTAAAGCATGCAGTACTTGAACGAACTTCAAAAGCCGAATTTGCAGTTCCACTGGTTGAGCCTTTTTATTAGTTCGTGTTTTCCATTTGCCTTCAACATCTTGCTTTGCTGATACCCTTCTAGAATTTCACTAAGTTACAGCTCCAGTTGGCAAGTAATTAATTTCGGGATGGCAAATATGGGTTGAGGTAAGTTCATATGTTCTGCTCAGAGACAAGAAGTGGTAAAGAATGCCACTTAAAAAAAATTGGATATACATATTTATACCACACAAAGAGTGCCCAAGTGTGCTGTAGGAAAATAAATAAAAACTCATTTAATCTAAATATAAACAAATTTGATTATTTAGACCGTCATGTAGCTCCAATATGTTAATATACTGTAATAGAAACATGGGATGCACTTTTTAAGATAAGGTTCTTTTCTTAAAAAAAAAAAAAGGAGAAATAGCTAAGTTTGCAATAAAAATAGTGCCAAGCACAGTCTGATGTAACTGGAAAAAAAATGGTAGACCTATAACTTTTATATGATATCATTCTGTAATAAGAATTCTGTAATTGCACTTAGAATTATCTAAAGGCAAAACTTACATCTGGAATATTCTTGAAGCCATACAACAGAAATTTAGTAAAGGATACAATAATTCATATCAACAGAAAACAAAACTTGTCACAATATGGCAAAAATGATGGGTGATCAGTTGGTCCCAATTTAATTTATAACATAGCAAAATGCTTGTGGTGTGCCCAACACAGTACAACAAATCCAAATAAAATGCCTGAAATTCTGATGTCTGTTTTAAATAACATCCACTTTAAAATACTAATTTTTAAACAATGCTATAATATCTTTGGCATCATGTCAGTTCTAAATCAACGTTTTGCCATGAATTCATTCCTGGCCCAGAAAAAAGGAGCAAATCTGATTTTGATTGTGGCACACAGGACTTATTTTTGCATTCAGCGTTCAACAATGCCAATTATATCTGACAGGCCAGCTGTTAGTCCAGTTTTCAGAAGTAACTCCAGTCCAGAACCACAAAAATGATGTCAATGGTGGTATCTGGCTAACCTCGCCTGGCCTCCAAAACTGCACAGCATCATGCCCAGCTGGTACCCGGCGGGAAGATCAGCAATGACTCTGGATGAGGATGCCACCCTCCCCCTGCCACCACCACCCCAAGAGCAACTGGCAAGCCATCCCAAAGATGCTTTTTCCACAAGGCAACTGGACTTTCTTGTTTTTCTTTAAAGATGTTTTGCTTCTCATCCAAGAAGCTTCTTCAGCTCTGACTGGGGAATGGAAGGATTTATATTCCTTGCAGACAGCTGGTCATTTGCATTCTTTTAACGAGTCGTTGAGGCCCCTTGGAGGTTTTTCTGTGTCCTCAGGGTCACTTGAGTAGTGCAAATGGGTGTGGAGCATTCTTGGAACTGCTGAAAGGACAGTGTTGTGGAACTGTGCTATATGCAGTATGTTTCTGTCCTGTGTCCCTTCACTTTTGAACCCAGGCACAGGCTGTGGGGATGAGTCTGAGTTGTCTGCAACTCAAACTGAAGTGCAAGTGGTCCTGTCATCTGCAATTTTTTTCCTGGAAATTCTTTCATACTCCTGCTCCATTTGAAGGGTGTTCATCTCAAAGTGCATAGCTAAATTTCTATGGAGATTCTCAGTCATCTAGGTCATGATTGTTCCAAAGGTGTTTTCAAGAGGCAACTAAATTTTGTTTTTCTTTGAAGCTGTTTCACTTCTCATCATGACTGAGAATCTCCATAGACATTTAGCTATGTGGGAGTATGAACAGATTTCCAGAAAAAAATTGCAGACTACAGGACTATTTGCACCTCAGCTTGAGTTGCAGTCATCATCCCCACAGCCTGTGCCTGTGTTCAACAGTGAAGGGACACAGGGCGGAAACATCCTGCAGATAGCACAACTCCACAGTACAGTCCTTTCAGTAGTTCCAAGAAGACTCCACACCTATTTGCACTATTCAGGTGACCTTGAGGACACAATTAAACCTCCAAGGGGCCTAAACGACTCTCTAAAAGAATGCAAATGACCAGCTGTCTGCAAAGAAATATAAATCCTTCCATTCCCCACCATCCAGTCAGAGCTGAAGAAGCTTTTTGGATGAGAAGCAAAACGTCTTCAAAGAAAAACAAGAAAGAAAAAGCACCTTTGAGAACCATGACCTGGATGACTGAGAATCTCCATAGATATTCCACTTTTAAAATAACATCCCTGAAACTGCATGGGTTTGTCTGAACTGAACTCAATTTGGTGGCATTCTTAGGTCCAGATGTTCCTGCAAGGCTTGTTGTGGGGGGATGTAGGGGTGGCTGGACTGCAGCTTTTCATTCGGACAACCTGGGATTGCGAGGAATTAGGAATTTAGCAGTGCAAATCACAGGAATGGCCATGAATGCTCCATTAAAAGTTAGACGAAAATTAGCCATCCTGAACTTTGAGGGGCTGCCACAAAGAGAAGAGGGAATCAACCTATTTTCCAAAGCACCTGAAAACGGGACAAGAAGCAACCGATGGAAACTAATCAAGGAGAGAAGCAACCTAGAACTAAGGAGAAATTTCCCGACAGAACAATCAACCAGTGGAACAACTTGCTTTCAGAAATTGTGGGTGCTTCATCACTCGAGGTTTAAGAAGAGACTGGACAACCACTTGTCTGAAATGATGTTAAGACTCCTGCTTGAGCAGTGGTTGGACTACAAGACCTCCAAGGCCCCTTCCAACTCTGTTATTCTGTTAACTTCACACTGGCAGGCTCTAGAGCAGTGGTTCTCAACCTGTGGGTCAGGACTCCATTTGGGGTCGATCGACCATTTCACGGGGGTCGCCAAGCAAGGCTGTCCGCCATTTTTTTTGTCCATTTTTTTCCCCTTTTCCGGCGGGTGCCTTACCTCCCTTGGGCTGGGCCAGCTGGTGGTCGGCCTGCTCCGTTTCTGCCGCTTGCCAGCTACGCCTCGGCCGGCGCAGGGGGCGGAACCACGCATGCATGGTGCTCCCGGGCAGGGAAAGTCCTCGACTTACGACCGGTTGGGTAGTCCTCGACTTATGACCGGTTTAGTCCTCAACTTACGACCGGTTTAGTCCTCAACTTACGACCAGTTGGGGTCGCGGCATTAAAAAGGTTGAGAACCACTGCTCTAGAGCTACACCGCGGATATTCACGATTAGCCCATTGCGGGACTCAGAATTGTCTAAACCAGTGTTTCTCAACCTTGACAATTTTAAGGCATGTGGACTTCAACTCCCAGAATTCCACAGCCAGCATCGCTGGCTGTGGAATTCTGGGAGTTGAAGTCCACATGCCTTAAAATTGTCCAGGTTGAGAAACACTGCAGAGTAGTTGTTTGCAGGACCATCTTATATTTCCCGTTTACAGTCGAATCGCGGGCGCCAGGTTGGGGAAAGCACTTCGGCCGCTTGGACTGGGCTACCCGCTCTTTGAATCGCGTCTTATTTAAACCCGAACCACGTCGCGCCGCAGCGCTGTGTCACCTTTTAGCCCCGCCCCAGGCCTGGCAAAAGCCCGCCCACTTCTGAGATGATTCCCCCTCCACCGCTCTCCCAGAAGCAGCTCCCGCGATGCGAGTTTGGGCTGAGTGCTTGCCGTAGTTACCGGGACGCGCATGCGCCGGCGGGAGCCGTGCTTCTGAAAGTGAAGGCGTTAAGGACGGACTTGAGTCTGTAGGGGTCAGAGAAGGCACTTCCTCCTGCTTGGTGTCGGGCGTGAGTGTCCGCGGCGGCCTCCTGCGCGGTTCTTCTGCTTTCCTGCCCTTTGGGGGACGCTGGGTTTAGTTCGACACTGGGACGGTCCACAAAGAAGAGTCTAGGGCAGGGGTAGGCAACCTTGGCTCTTTTATGACTCGTGGACTTCAACTCCCAGAATTCCTGAGCCAGCTTGGCTGGCTCAGGAATTCTGGGAGTTGAAGTCCACGAGTCATAAAAGAGCCAAGGTTGCCTACCCCTGGTCTAGGGACACCCTTTGCGCTCTGGCTGTGGCGGTGCAGTTGATGGTCTGGTGGGACCCTGGCAGCGGGCGGGGGAAATTAGTTGGGGCGTCCGTCTATTTTGGGGTCCTCTCCAGATGCAGCAGAATCACTCTGGGTGGGAACTGGGAGCAATGAGACCAAAAGGATAAGATGATTTTTTTGGCTTACGACTTAATTTCTTCTCTCCGTTGCGGTCGGTTAACCGTGAATTACGGCGTACTGGCCCATGCCAATCCTGCAGATTATAGATTTATTTGTAAACCACGATTAAGGAAGCTACGGCTGTCGCCAGGATTGTAATGCAGGAAGTGGGGAGGGACCGTATTTGCTGAACGGATTGCTGCATTTTGGATGACTAGCGGAATAAAAATGTCAGCGGGTTAACTCTGTACACGTGAGTCCTTGTCACGCTGGCAATTAACACCAGCTCCCAAAGTGTTAAGATTTGAAATTTCATCCTGCAGATGTGGAAAGAAAAGATGCGTTGTGCATCCATATTAGGAGTCTGCAAAGCTTTAGAAGGCGATGCTTTGTGTCTACTAACTAATTGTCTTATTGTTAAAGCAGCCACTTTATGCATAGAGTTGCGTTTCTGCTGCAGAAACTGCTTCCATCTGTTTCTGCTGCACCTATACATATAGTAACAGCTGCTTACACCTTCTGGAGCCTTGCAGCTTGATTGCTTTAATTTGAAAAGTGGCGCTTTATGAATTTTGCCCTGTTACTGAAAATCTCTTTAAAAACCTTTATAGAGCCCTAGGCCAGTGGTTCTCAACCTTTTTAATGCCGCGACCCCAACCGGTCGTAAGTCGAGGACTAAACCGGTCGTAAGTTGAGGGCTACCCAACCAGTTGTAAGTCGAGGACTTTCCCTGCCTGGGAGCGCCGCGCATGTGTGGTTCCGTCCCCTGCGCCGGCCGAGGCGTAGCTGGCAAGTGGCAGAGACGGAGCAGGCTGACCACCAGCTGGCCCAGCCCAAGGGAGGTAAGGCACCCGCCGGAAAAGGGGAAAAAAATGGTGGACAAAAAAAATGGCGGACAGCCTTGCTTGGCGACCCCCGTGAAATGGTCGATCGACCCCAAATGGGGTCCCGACCCACAGGTTGAGAACCACTGCCCTAGCCTATACTACATATTATGTATCTCTAACAAATAAAACAATTTCCAAAGAAATTAGATCTATAAAAATGCATTTCTGTGATAGAGAACACTTTGTGGTTGCACTTCTTGTTCTTGTTAATATTGTGATCATAATAGCAAAGCCTTAATTTCCCTTTCTGTTTTAGGAGAAAGCTTCAATATGTCTTCTAATTTGTTGCCCAAGCCACGAATGAGAGATCTCCTGGGAAGACTTGCAAGAAGGAATTTTCTGATGGGAGTTACTTTAGTATCAGGAAGCTTTTTTTTCCTGGAGGTTAGGATTTCTTGTATTAAAACTCAATATAAACCAGATTTTTTTTCATTCTTAAGTGTCATTCTTATATATTTAGGCAAGTCTTGCAAAATTACAAATAGCCCTTGTTTAATGACTGTTTGGTCAGCCTCTGTTTGCAGTTACGATGGTGCTGAACAAATGGTAGTTATAGCCAGTACTTGAAGCTATGACTGTTGCAATGCTCTCATGTCACATGTTCAAAATTTGAGTGCTTAACAACCTGGCCAGATTTACAATCGCAGGGTCTGCTTCAACTCCCCCCACTCTATCACCATCTCTGCCCTTTTGGCTTCTGCACTTTGCTGCCACCTACTTTTGCTGCTGCTTCCAGGGTGACCATTGTCATGTTCTTCCTCTTTGGCCGGGGTGGTGGTGGTGGTATCGGTGCTGGGCTTGCCACCACTATCTCCTTGGCTGCCAGTCTGAAAACAAGGTGGGCATAAAACTTGGTGTGTCTCAGGGCTCTGCAGATCAGGTCTTTGCCATGACCCTTCTGCAGGGTACAGAAATAGAACTTAGATCTTCATGATTTAAGCTTTGTTTCTGCTCTCTGAAGAAGAATGTCAGTTTCCTTCAGCCAGCAGCTCTTTCAGTTAGTCCCCAGAGATGAGAGGGAGTCTTTTTGGCAGGTGGCAGCAGCTTGTAACCTTCCCTGCTGTTTGACTTTCTGGGAAAACCGGCAGAGGAGATTGTAAATGGCAATAACATGATTGTAAGGCATTTGACAACTGATTGTATGTGTGAACAGGTTTTCAAGTGCCCAAAATGCATTCAAGTGACTGCAGGAGGTGGGGGTGTGTGATATTTTATGCCAGCTGGAAGTGCTTTGTGAGTTATATAGCACCATTTCTGAGACCATAAGTACAAATGGTCTTGTAAGTTGAGGACTACCTATACAAGACTTCAATTTCTAAGCAGTGGTGTCATGTGTTTTGTTTAATGGCTGCTTCGTTTAGCAAGGAGAATTCCAGTCCCAATTAGGGTCATTAAGCAAGTCCCAGGTAAATAGGTACAGAATTGTAGTCTTAATGGTGTACACCTTTTTCATCAATTGCATCACTGTTTTCTCAACGTTTTGTAAACAATTTAAGCTGCCCATGAGTGCACTGTTTTCATAGATCTTGCTCTCATTTTAAAAAAATGTTTTTGTTCAGTATTTAATTGAGTTGCTTGTTTTAAAGCCTTGTAATGGTAACTTTTTTCTCTTTAGTATTTTTTCATTCAAGCAAAGCAAAATAAATACAGAGATTTCTACAAAACATTTGACTTCATGAAAGACTTTGAGGACAAGAAAAAAGCAGGCGTGTTTCAAAGTGTGCAGCCCTAATGACATCTAATAATCATAAGTAAGCAATTGTTCAGCTTATGTTTTAATAATTCAAGGGAATGTTTCTTTTAAGCTAGATTAAATAGTGTAGCATAGCAATTAAAGTGCTGACATTGAGTGAGACACAGGTTCAAGTTCTCCCTAACTAGAAGCCAGCTGGTTGATCTTGGGCCACGCATTCTCTCTCTGTCCTGACCCAGGAAGTCAAAATACTTTCTGGGAGAAAGCAGTGGGAGACCACTGAATTGATTTGTGGGTTGGGTGGATTAAATCACTTTCACATTGTTAGCAAAGAAATGGCACAGACCTGTTACTAGTGCATATTGAAATACAAAATACAGGTTTGTAATTCAGCTAAAGCAAAGTAAAATCAGATAAGTAGATTTATTTGTTTTAACTGAAGTCACTCCTCTGATTCTTTGTCCATTGATGATGATGTACTTTTTAAAATTCTAATGTTCATGTGCTTTCTTGGAAAAATGTAGCCAGTTTCACTGCTGCTAATTTTTAGCAGATTTCAAATCATGCTGTTAGAAGCTTTACTATTAAAGCACAAGCTGGCTAATTATGTTCACAGTGGCATTTCATCATATGAACATATTTTAGGGTTATAAGCCTTTGGGCTTCATAAAAACTAATATTTTTTAAGTAACTTAGATAAAATGATATTTTGCATATCATTTTCAAAATGGGAGAATAGATTCTAGATTCTTAATAACGTATTTTTTTTCTTTTTCAGAACTTCCTTTTGGAGACAAAATAACCGAATATTGTGATCAATAACGATCACCTTCAGTGCTGGTCCTGCTATATTGTGCTCATTAAATGAAAACTATCTCAGAGTGTGTCTTGGCTTCTTTCAGTTAGTAGCAATCAAAGCTCACAAAGTACTGCAGTGTTTCATCATCATCAGAATTGGAAGGGACCTTAGAGGTCTTCTAGTCCAACTCCCTGCTCCTCGGACAATGTGCTAGGCTGAAATAGTAGAAATCTTTAAGTTTTCTTTCTAAAATAAAACACTGAGAGGAGAGGGTGTGTCAAATCTAAGGGAAAACAGGGAAAATTTGGATATTGGGATCTTTTAGCTTCCTTTCAGTAGCAGTTAAGTGGCAGTGCTGGCAGTTGGAAGCAATTTTTTTCTCTCCTTTTGTAGCTTCTGCTTTGCAGAGAAGTGGGCAAAAAGGAGAAATGAAGACTGGGCTGTTTTCAGTGTCCATGTGAAGGTCAAGTGTGTGGCATCCACATTTTACATTTACCATTATAATTTTTTTCTCAGAACATTTATTGAGTTGAGTACCTTGCGGATAGAACACAAAAACAGGATTATTTTTCTTTTGTGATAACATAAATGTTTTAAAAATTGTTGTTATTCACAAGAGTTCACTTTGTAACATGTTATGGAAACGTGCTGCATAGCTGTGGGCAGGCAGATGCAAATGGCTGCTTTATGCTCCAAGAGTTGTGCTACAGCAGACTACTAGTTTATCTAAGTTAGCAGTAGTTCTACCAAGGCCCATTCAGAAATTTAGGGACACTATAGGTTTATTTTTGAGATATTGGCATATTGCACCCTTCTTGAACATTTTGATAAGTAATATATGTATATTATTTTTATACAAGTAATTAGTAAAAGGATTTTGTTGAACTGGTTGCTTGCTTCTCGATCCAAAATTTGTTCTTATTAGATATTGCTGGATTTTTTTTCACCAAGGCTTTAATTTTTCAGTAGTTGCCTGCTGTTACTCTTCAATCTGCTAAAACTTTGGGTTGCTCTTAGCAATATGCTGTCTTTTTAAGAGATTCTGGTGTTAGTCTGACCATAAGAGGGAAAGAAAAAACTAGCAAGCAAATGAACTTGTGATAAAAAAAATCTATGTTGATAAAGCATCCAGATAATTCTGTCAGACATTGGTCCATCTAGCCCAGAATTGTTGCTTTCTGAGATAAAAATTATCAAGCATTTTATGACAAATAACATATTTCCTGAGTTGAACATGGCTACTTTAAGGCAGGTACATCTCTGAATACTCACTGAATTTTTAAGAACTTTTCAAGTACATTAGAAGCTCTGTTATTGTTGAAGACATTGAGGAGTCTGGTAAGGAAATATCCAAATGATGACTGAGTGACTCACGGGTTGTCTAGTCCTTATGTAAAAGTGTGATTGAGTGGGAACTCTGGCCCAAGTCGTCTCTCCCTGAGCAGGAAGGCCCTCTAAGGATCATTTATGGAGGTAAACATACAGTGTGCAAAAATAGTATAGAACCTAATTATTTAATGCTTTCAGTCTTCAGATTTATACACTGCAATCTTTAGAATAATACTTTATAGTTAAATATAATTACATGTATGTTAAATCTAGTGTGATTATACTGATAGTTGAGTTACCCAACAATGCAATATGTTTATGATAGAAGCACAATTTGTGTCTCAGATTTCCTAATCCACAGCATGGATGCCATAGAGCAGACATGTCAAACACAAGGCCCAGGGGCCGGATGCAGCCCACAAAGTGGTTTCATGTGGCCCGCGAAGCCATCCTGGAAATGGAACGGCCCCCGCCGGGTGCCAATGTACAATTTTGTGGTGGCCATCTATGCTGAAACGCATTCAGTCTTAGCTCCACAAGGCCGTCTAGAAACAGCGAGGAACCAGCCCCTGCTGCGTCGGCCCCGCCCCCTGGGTGCATGCTGGGTAGGTGTCACCCTTTGTGAGGAATGAAGAAATGGACCATGCCTTGGCGCTTGCCCCGGTCCCACCCCCTTCACCAGAGACCTTCAGATCTGTCCCACTCCTGCCCAGCCCCCCACAGGCACCCTTGATGCGAACGATGTAGAACACCATGCCCACCCAGTAGACCACACCCACTCCATCCACGCCCACCCAGTAGGCTGCACCCACCCTGGCCATACCCCCCCGGCCCCCCCGAGGGCAACCACAATGCTGATGCGGCCCTCAATGAAATTGAGTTTGACACCCCTGCCATAGAGATTCTAGGATTCACCATCATGATAATAAATATCCAAGGGACTGCATAGCTTGCTATGAACTGCGTGGCATGGGAATGGTCTTTAAAGATGACCTTGTTTTTTGAGGTCTCTTGCAGGTCAAGGAGGACATTTTTCTGTGTTGCTCCCAAGTCATATTCTCAGGCAAGCCACTCGGCTTCTATTCTTTCTGCTTTTAGTGAACAAAAGATATTTTTCTTTAGTCAAGTGTTTTCTGCCTTGATTGCGATCGTTAACATTTTCAGATTGTAAAATAACAGGTTTTTCCAAAAAAATAATAATTGTTAGCTGCCCAAAATGTGTGCTGGGCAGGAAAGTGATATTTAAGTTATATAAATAAATATTCAAATATGATTAGCCATGCAACTAATTAGAATCTTAAAAGTCAGTTGCAGTATAGGTGGTGTTCAGAGCTTACAGGGGGGATAAATCTCAGGGAGGTTTAAAAAAGCAACTTCCTACAGTGGAACCAATAGCTATTGTCAGAACTGTAGCTAGGTCAGCAGTTTAATTGGATTTGTAAAGCAATTACTACTATAATTTAGAAGAGCTTTAAACAAATTTGTTTGCTTCACTCTGGCTATAACTTGTCCTGTTTGTGCTAGTTTATTATTTTGGCATTTTATAAATGCATTTCTTTTGAATCAAATTGCTATAACAGTACTGTCAACAGACAAAGTGGCAATATAACTCTTTATTTCTCATGAAAGATTCAATTATAAAATACAATAGTTTAAAGCAGTGTAAGTAAACAATGACTAGTCACATAAACATTTAACAAAGGCTGTACCTAGTTTGTACTTAGGATAAACCTAGTTTTCAAAGGCTGAATATGTTAAAAATGGAACCCATAAGATGTGACAAAATCAAAAGAGCTTTCAAAATCTCTGTGCCTAGAAATGTACTGGAAACATTAGTGAAAATTGGCTAACACATAGTTTAAATTCAGTACCTAACGTCAGCATAGTTTTGTAGTGCAGATTGGCCTTGGACAGATGAATGTTGAGTTTTTGCCTTGAAAAGCTGAGCAGGAGGTTAGAGTGGGGAGGAAAAGAAATGTTTAGGACCAAAAATGTTAAATAAAAATAGTCAAGAGCCCATCGCAAACACACTTTTTGAAACTAAAGCCTGCTGATCCCACTTCAATCTACATTTAAATCTAATAGCTGTTTTATGCTGGTGATTCTTCCACAGTTCAAAGTTGAAAACAGATGTTGAAAAGTCTATAGAAAAGATACATCTAAAAACATCCACTATTAATATACCAGAGCTCTCGGAAAAATTAGATCTGCACAACAAATGAGAAATCTGATAACTGATCCAGTATGGTCTAAAATGGTTTGGACCCATATCCATGAATTTTACTTTTTTTCCTGGGTGATGATTTAGTATAGAATTCTATGTTACAAGTATATATTTTTCTTAAGAATCTCCCATTTAACCTTCCAGTGCAAATGTAATTGCTGAATACTACAGCAATAATGAAACTAGGCACTAGTTTTACGGTTTACTGAGCCCTTTCCAGTGGATATATGGGTTTAACTTCAGACAATGGTGGGTAATGGGGCTATATGAGAACTGATACACTGGCTACTAATTTGGTCAGTTAAAAACTCAGATGCTTTTAGAGCATGGGTGTCAAACTCGATTGCGTCATTTTTTTTGCCTTTGTGGAGATGATGTGGGCTGGCCAACATGTGACGCATCTGGCCTGCGGGCCGCCCGTTTTACACCCCTGTTTTAGAGGAAACTACATCTCATAGTACTAAATAGCATTTTCAGTGATACACTGAATCTCTTATTTTATAGAAAACTATGAGACAAACAAGAGTTCAAGTTATGTATACTTCTTAAACATGGCTATATAGGCTTCCAGTCAGTCATGTATTTAGATGAGCCGTCCCTATAATGGCACCTACCTAAAATTGCTGCAACTACAGCTGTATGACTTGGAATTATGGGAACCCAAATTGTGTTTGCTGTGGTGCTCTAGTTTAATATGTTGATCAAAATGAAAATGTGTTAATAAGACCAAGGTGGCAATTGTTATGTTACTTGGATGTAACTCAATGGATCCTACTTTGAGTAATGCATCATGGGTCAGTTGATCATTTAAATTACCTTCTCATTTTTGGTATTCATGGCTAAACAAAAGTTGTAAAGCTTTAGATAATGCAAATTACTGGTCCCACATTAATAGTCCATAAGAACTCTTGCATAATTATACATTGTTAAAGAATTGCAATAGCACATACATTCAACAATCTTCGGAAAACATTGCTATCTTTTATGGTAAACAAGAAATCTCATAAATTAGTATTGTCACCAACTTGTTCTTCAAACTAAACAAAGGCACTAATTTATATTAAGGACTGAAATCCTGCAAAATCTCAGTCAATGAAAATTAACAGAATGGTCCAGAACCCTAGGTATCACAATTCCCTTAGCACACCTAAGTACTTCCAAACTGAATAGAAAAAATTATTTTGCTATAGGTTGGGCCAGTTGCAGTACAAATTTCAGCCCTGAGCAAGTTTTTAAAGCTAAGTTCTAAATTTGCTTGTAGTAACTGGCACCTCTTTAGAAAACGAAGAAAAAGACAAGAATATTATAATGTTCATTCTGTGCATTCTGTTAATCTTTACATATTAGACTTCCTATTAAAAAGAAAATAAATATTTTCACTGTCATCTTACAAGGTTGCCAATTTGTTTACTGACAGCTATATACAGTATATATATCTACGTAATTCTGTCTCATAAAGGAGACTACAGAATTCATCTCTAATGTACTGAGTGCAAAATAGATCATCTTTTTAATGTGCTAGTTCAATATCCCAGCACACTTAAGTTTAAACTCATCTGTTTTCATGTGGTGTGAAATGTAAAGTTCTTATTAGGCAACTGCATAGATAGTACTTTAAATCTGGAAACATTTCAGCAGAGTGTTTTCAGTTAAATCCTCTACTCAAAGCTTTATTTTTTACCATAGTAAATTTGCTGATGAATACATGAGCAAAAATGGGATTAACCAGGTATTGATAAGTCTTTAATGTTGCTGGAACCGGTTCGGCAGCTATGAGAGGTGCTGTGTTCTGTACAGACACAGGGACAGTAACCAAGTGGTAGGATGCTTTTGTAATGTAGTCAACAAGTCTGTTGTACTGTTGTTCGGACAACCTCTCTCTGTTTCCATCTGCCTGAAATCAGAGAACACAGATTTATTGAAATGGGCAGTGTATTGCTAATAATTTTTTTTAAAAAAATCATGATTGTTTTTAAAGACTACAAATAAAATAAGTCTGGAGCTTTACCTCCAGATCACAGGACACTCTCTGCTGTTTGAGCTGCACCTTCAACAAATTGCTTTGTTCACCATCTAGCAGGCATTCAATCTCTGTCACTGGGAATGCCTGTTGCTGTGTGTCTTCATCGATGCTAACCACAAACAGCACTTCTGAAGTAAGGAGTAAGCATCCTTCATGTTCTTGGCCTGATCCACTCACAATTATCACATCCAGGGCCATGAAGACCTCTGGTCTCCCCAGCGATTGAAGCATTTTCCTATTAAAAAAAAAAGGTTCAAGATGAACATGCATTCACCTGATAGTCAACATTTCTCAGTAAAGTTGCTGCTTTTTTTTTTCTAAAGAAGCAGTAGCATTACACAGAAACAAGAGTTTTGCAAAACTTGCTATGATTTTAAACCCCCAAAGAGGTCTTGTTTATTTTGTAATACTCTCAAACCTCCATCTTCTGCAGCCAAGCTGACCTAATTGATGGTCACAATCACATCTCCTTTGTCCAATTCATTTCTCATTCCAGCCCTGAATCCATTCCAAGGAATTGGAACTGGAAATTGGAACCAAACTGAGAATAAACTACTGTAGCAGTTATTTCTGGAGATGTCCAATAGTTGGGCAAAGGCAACTAAGTAATATCTTTCATAAACAAAGACAGGCTCGCATCAGATTTCCAAAGCTCAAAGGACAGCTGGTTTTCAGAGAGGGCCTCTGCTGAACTTTATGTTTAGCATTCCTAAATATTCTGCTGTAAGTCAGCCTTTTGCTCCGTTAGCTTGAGCAGGAGCCAGAATCTATTAATCAACACTTGGGGTATAGAAATGAGTCAGTATCCAGATAATTTACCAGACATATTTGACGTGGCTGTTTGGGGCCTGTTCAGCATGTTGATCACTTGAAGGACAGCGCTGTTTAGGATGCTGGGAAAGTCCAGCCCCATGCAAAATACCTGTGGTGATAAAAGTGAGGCAGTTTTGGGTTTTTGTTTTTACAGGGTGGGAAAATAGAAACATGTTGCAATGATGTCATGTTCTTAAACAGTCCATAAAATTGTGCAGATCCAAAGTGATGTCACATCTTTGGACGCTCTAGTGGAGATAATTCATTCAATATTAGAACACAATAATCATGCACTTAACCATAATGGATTTTAGCATTAGCTAGAAATAAACAAAAGATGGATCATCAGTCACATACTGGCAATTAGGGAAAAATCAAATGTTCTTGTGAGCCATAGATTTAGAAAGGGATTGCACAAGTTAGTTAAGAATGTAGGCATATCAGTTCAAGACCACGGTTAACTTTCTTGCTTAATATTCACATTCTTTCATGAGTATCTCACAATTAGCAAACATCAGCAGGTAAATTTGCCCTTGATACTGCCATTTCAACATAAATTACTTAATTACTGTTAAATATGAAAACCAAATGTTATGAATTCTCTTGGGGCATCTGAATTTTGAGAAGTGTCTTGTATTACAGCAGAGATCTGTAGAGCTACTCCTCTTCCTGTTTGCCCTGATCAGAAGAGAACAAAGGGGGTGACTTACTGTAGCAGGTTGCTTTCTGATGGCTGGTACATTTTTAATATGTAAAGGGCATGGCCCTTATGCTGAGAAATGACAGAGTGTCAATAACTGGATGATTTACTTAAAAGATAAATGTTTTATATCTGGGATTAAAACTGGGGTGCATCTTAGAGGATAGCAGAATTTCTGGATAGGGAGAGAGCTGAGCACTAATGCATCAAACATTTCTGCATCAGGGTAAAATTTATAAAACAAATACCAAATAAATAATGCACTGGTGTTGTTCAGAAAGAATTAACTTTAATATTGAACATACACTAACTCCTAGTAATGCTCAAAAGATACATTCCAGTTGTAATAATTAGCTGATTGAGATTTTTCAGCATTATTGCAAATGAGATAGTCATTGGCAGATGGAAAAGTAGAACATGTGATTACTTCTGTGTGGTCTTGTCTCCCCCATAAGGCATAAGCCCATTTGCCCATTAGTCACAACAAAGATACTGCTCCATGCACTTCCATTTATTATGGAAAAGACTCAGTTCTCCCAGCCAATAGACACAAAATATAGAAATACAGCTGTCAGACTCTACAACACTCTGTCGTTAATTCTATGCACTCAGGGCAATGTTGCATTGCAAACCCCTTTTCAAATGGAGGAAAAAAGAGAGTTGCAAAAGAACTTGATATTGTTTTGGAGAGATTGTTGTTCAAAGAACAACAACAACAATAAAAGCTGTCTTCTGAGTTCTACAAACAGTTGGCTCTGCTAAAGTTGCTCTCTAGTTTCAAGCCACTGTTTGCAGTAAAGTGCATCTTTCCATTATTTTGGGTTACTTCTCAGTTGCCAACTTTTTTAAAAAAAATCTAAAATCTATGTAACATGGAACATCTCTTACACTAACTTCCAACTTTTTTCTTTCTCTAGTTTTCCTAGAATCGAAGTTTTATGTACAATAAACTTCCAATTTCTCAACAACATCCGATACACATATTGGATAAACAATTATGTGAGAAAACAGCCACACACAACAGTTTCATATGTTGTTCCTCCAAAACGTCTCCAGAGAATTAGGAAATTCTTGGAAATTCTTGGATGTGTATTAGCGGGCATATGATGAAGACAAACAGTTGTAACTGGCTTCTTTTGGCTTCTTTTAAAGCTTTTAGAGCTGATGAAGAAGATGCAGAAAAACCTGTGAGAGTAATCTTTGAATGACACATACCCCCATTTCTTCAAGGGGTCTGCTTGAAACATAGGCCTCTAATTTTACCATTTGTCCTAATAGGATCTCCAAGATCTTTTTAAAAGCATGGAGGAGCAGAACAGAGTGGTTGGGTGCAAAATAATACCTAAAGGTTTAGTTAATGGAAATAAAAAAGATGGCCAGCATAAGTGGTTAGTGATTCATCTCAAGGAGGAAGATGCTATATGAGTAATCACATTATAGCAATAACATCTACAGTGTTTGCAATTCTTGGAGACAATCTAAGATATCATTAATGGAATATTGACACATCTGGGCCTGGCTCAGAGAAAGTGAGCATACTTTATATGCAGTGGTATCAAATGACCTGGTGGGAAAATTCAGAAAGCATCTTATTTTTTTAAGCAGTAAGTCTGGAAGCAGAAATAACAGCTGGCAACCGATTTGTATTATGGTTAGCAAGACAAAAGTGTGATCTTGGTTTAAATGGGCACTTAGTTTTCCTTAGTCCATAACAAACTGTGTGAGATCATCTGGGCTTTGTAGAATATCCTCACTGAGGTAGGTAACACAACTAATCAGGAATTTATGACTTAAATTTGCTCTTTATATTTTAAGATGATTTAATCTGAGATAAATTCTCCACCTAAATTTGCTAGTTTTGCAATGCATTTTATATATAAATTAAAAAAACTGGGTAATGAGGACTAAGTATCTGAAATAGGAAAATAGCGTAATCTCAGTAAAAGAATGTGATGGTAGGAGGGAAATTTATATTTTAAATAAGATTTTAGTAATACTGTACATGCTACAATTAAAATAATACATGAAAACTACCAATGAATTTGCAACACGCCGAAGTCGTACATTTGCTCAAACCTACCGTAGCCAGTCTGTGAGACTAACTCAGCTGCTCCTCCAATAGGCTTAGCAAAAACTCCCATGATTCCTTTCCCCACACCAGAGATCACGCCCTTGGCTTTGTGTCCGGCTGAACCCTGGGCTTCTGATGTTTTCTGGAAATTCTGCATTGGCTGATCTACTATCCCAGCAATTGCACCTGTAATGAGTTTTCAAGTATTACAGAACGATATAATCTCAGAGCAAGATGAAATATTGATTTCTGAACACTTTTGCTTCATTTCATTTGAATATTATGCCATTTTGTCTAACACAGCAATAAGGAACTGACATTGGGTCCCTCTAATTCAGTGTAAGAAAATTTTTGCTAGTCTCATATAGCTTTTGAATAAATATCTCTTTTTTTCTAATATTTTCTATATATTTAATATAATTTATATATATATTTTATTTTTAAGTTTATTATTGTATGTTAGAGTTAAAGTATGTTAAATTTTGTTTGTATTATGAATGGATAGCTTACTTTAGACTTGGGATGTTATGTATTTATCCCTGTACTCAGTTCTGGGAAGTCCAGGGGGGGAGGGGGGAAGGGGATGAAGGGGTAGAATTATAAAAAAAAATTGGTGTATTTATAAATGTAATGTAAATGTAAATGTTTGTTTTTAAGAAGAGGAGATGATCGGCTAGTACCCCTAAACTGCATCCGAGGTGGTGGAAAAGAAGGTGATGGGATGTGTAGGATAGTTGGGAAGGAGGAGAGAGGAGAGGTAGTGGTCAAGAGGGGGAGGAAGGAGAGGGAAGTAGGTAGGAAGGTGGAGGGAGTATGGATTAAGGGGGGGGAACGCCGATTATTTCGGAATAGGCTTTTTATGTGTTTGTTTTTCTAATGAAATGCACCATATTTGTACTATTTGTTCATATTTTATTTCAAAAATTAATAAAAAATTTTAATAAAAAAAAAGAAAGAAAATTTCACTTAAGAGAGCCCAACGTTTTGAGCTGCTTCACAGATCTGGATTCCTGAGAGCATGTTATGGACCCTCACCCAAATTATTGCAGTGATGGATGTACCCAGTTACAAAACAGCTTACCAGAAAGCAAATTCAGGAAATGGTTCCCCAAGAACCATTCTAATGGTTCTGAATATCCCATATCAACCTTTATTTTTGTCTTCTTTCTGGGTAAGTGAACATACTTCCAAAGAAATCCCTGAGCTGTAGTTTCTATAATATTTGCTGAGATTGCCACAGAATTCAAAACATCATTGTAAATAAATAAACATTAAGCTTTGCAATATGCTGACTTCACATTTACTTCTTTAATTATTTTTTTTTAAAAAATCTAAAACCAAATTAAGAGGGGCATAGGATATGGAGCCTAAGATGTATCTAGGTAGATCTGTTATTTTGTTATACATGGGTACTATATTGGGGACTAGTAGATAAATATTAAAACTTGGTTTCACAGGTGTCTTTTAAACTTCCACAATTTTTCTAAATGAAGTTGTTGAATGGCAAAATCGAATATATTGTATAGATTTTGCTTCTAGATTTTGTGCTTGAGAGGGGGAAAAAATGAAACGTTGACTTTGGATTTTGCTGATAAGATAGGTTTGTTGCTATAGAAATGGTTAGTACACATTAGCATGGAAAAGTAAAAAGTTGAGGCTGCGATGTTATTTATCTTATTCTACTGTGCTAAAAAGAGTCAGCAGTCAATGTTGTTTCTTTCTGTGCCCCTCTTTTTCCTACACTTTTCCCCTTCCCTTTTTTCTCCCTCATTTTTACACTATTTTCATTTTCTTTTCTATTTTATATCTTGATAAACTTAATTTATGCTAACATAGCGAGATGTTAGACCACTATTTAAAGTAAATCTCACAAACCTTTAAGCCTTTCCTATGTCCACTATATCATTTTAACATGCCCTTATATTATAAAAATGCTCATAAACCAATGCAATCTCTAATATATTACTAAGTTTAGTAGAATTAGGCCTGGAGACTTTTGTTACTGTTTTTGTCAACACAATCATATTTTATTTTAATGTGTACAGGTCAAACGTTTACAAGTGCCTTAATGACCCCTCCAGTTTTCCATATCAACAGAGAACAGCAGTTTAAATCTTCCTAAACGTAAACAGGTATGTCAGGTGGGATGTTTCTTTGATCCTGAGTTTATTCAAGCTGTGCCATACCCCAGAGATGCCTCTAGCTGTTGTAACTTTGATGGATAATTTATTTGGATCTCACTAAATGGATAATGATTGAACAGGATGACGAGGTGTTACATTATGAATCTGAAGGGCTTATGCTGAAGGTCATCATTCAGTACAAAATGAATGAAAAACTAGCTGAAACTTCCAGATCTCTTTGTAAGCCCTCCAAATATGGGTAAGAGACACCTTTTTCATCCCATATGGATAACAATAACTATATTAGGGCCAACTGCTGTTCATTGTGCACATAAACAACAACAATAACAACCACAAATATTTGTGCATTAAATTATTAGGGCCTTTCGAGACAATAAAACTAATTGATAGGCAGAATCTCTACCCTCCACAAGACTCACAACTAGCCATTGCTCTCCGGTGGTTTCAGATTGTTCCTTGCATCCATCTTACAATCCACCCATGAATCCTGAGATGAGATGGAAATGTTTTTTCCTTCAACTGATAGATCATGATATTTTACAAAATTAAAGGAATGAGTGGTAAAAATTGTATTAAAATTGCTTTACTTTAGTGGCATTTTACTAAATATTTGAAATATATTCAGCTGTTCTTGAAATGAAACATTTTCCCCTTCTAGGCCGCATCACATTTTCTTTATATTCAAAAGTTATCCTTGATCCCTCTCTAGTTTGAACATGTGTATTTTGTGGCATAGATATGGCATTAGACAAGTACCCATCTTCAAAGGAAGATGCACGTTGTACTTGCAGAAGATGTTAAGTATCTCACATGTGCAAAGTAATCTTCATTATAACCATATTTTATTAATTTTTTATAATCACAAATCCTTAATATTTTATCAGCAACATGTTTCCTGGGCTCCAATATTTAGCTTACTAATACATGTTAAACTTAGAATTTGGGAAAGTCTAAACCCTCGTGGCCCTGAGGCATGCCACATTCTTTATCTGGCACTTTGTCTACTTAATGATTGCTTAAAGACCACAACCAGGACTGCCACGATTGCAGTCATTGAGTGAAACCATCACATGACATTTAATGACTGCTTTGCTCTATGACCAAGATTTTGGTCCCAAACGTTTTCATAAATCAAGCACCTGTGGCTTATTAACATTTTAAAACTTTGCTAGTGTTATAATTAATACAAGGTTTCTGGCAAATCACACTTAATGTACTATGCATTCTATACATTTCAGACGCTCTTTATTTGCTAGCAATTTCTGGACAAAAGAGTTTAGATAAAATAGGTGTGCCAATGCAACATGCCATCTGGGAAACAGATATACTAGCATCTTATGCTTCTCTCCCACTTCATATGTTCCTCTCCTTCAATAACAGCTGGAAAAATATTGTATTATTAAGTTCAAGATGTTTTTTTCCCATCTATCATAATGTTAGATTCCTAAATTTGCCTTGGTTTCAGAGATAACTCCAACAAACCTTAGAACATGCAACTAGAATGTTTCAAGGCTATCAGACAAACTCAATTATGACATCAGAGAAGGTAAACCAATGAAATATGGGAAGAAAAATAAATTGTTTGAAATCTCACACACCAGAGGAGACAGGTGAAAACAGAGATTGCAAGGAAATAGCAAATATTAACGGACCCATTGTTTACAGAATTGTTCACTCTGGCTGCGTTTGNGGGCGGAAGGTGATGAAGGGGTAGAATTATAAATTTTTTTTGGTGTATTTATAAATGTAATGTAAATGTAAATGTTTGTTTTTAAGAAGAGGAGATGATCGGCTAGTACCCCTAAACTGCATCCGAGGTGGTGGAAAAGAAGGTGATGGGATGTGTAGGATAGTTGGGAAGGTGGAAAGAGGAGAGATAGTGGTCAAGAGGGGGAGGAAGGAGAGGGAAGTAGGTAGGAAGGTGGAGGGAGTGTGGATGCAGGGGGGGGGAGAACACCGATTATTTCGGAATAGGCTTTTTATGTGTTTGTTTTTCTAATGAAATGCACCATATTTGTACTATTTGTTCATATTTTATTTGAAAAATTAATAAAAAAATTTAATAAAAAAGAAAAAGAAAAAAGAAAATTTTTGCTAGTCACATCTATTTCACTTAAGAGAGCCCAACGTTTTGAGCTGCTTCACAGATCTGGATGCCTGAGAGCATGTTATGGACCCTCACCCAAATTATTGCAGTGATGGATGTACCCAGTTACAAAACAGTTCACCAGAAAGCAAATTCAGGAAATGGTTCCCCAAGAACCATTCTAATGGTTCTGAATATCCCATATCAACCTTTATTTTTGTCGTCTTTCTGGGTAAGTGAACATACTTCCAAAGAAATCCCTGAGCTGTAGTTTCTATAATATTTGCTGAGATTGCCACAGAATACAAAACATCATTGCAAATAAACGTTAAGCTTTGCAACATGCTGACTTCACATTTACTTCTTTAATTTTTTTTTAAAAAAAATCTAAAACAAAATTAAGTGTGGCATAGGATATGGAGCCTAAGATGTATCTATGTCAGTGGTTCTCAACCTGTGGGTCGGGACCCCATTTGGGGTCAATCGACCATTTCATGGGGGTCGCCAAGCAAGGCTGTCCGCCATTTTTTTTGCCATTTTTTTGTCCGCCATTTTTTCCCCCTTTTCCAGCGGGTGCCTTACCTCCCTTGGGCTGGGCCAGCTGGTGATCGGCCTGCTCCGTCTCTGCCGCTTGCCAGCTACGCCTCGGCCGGCGCAGGGGGCGGAACCATGCATGCGCGGCGCTCCCGGGCAGGGAAAGTCCTCGACTTACGACCGGTTGGGTAGTCCTCGACTTATGACCGGTTTAGTCCTTGACTTACGACTGGTTTAGTCCTCAACTTACGACCAGTTGGGGTCGCGGCATTAAAAAGGTTGAGAACCACTGATCTATGTAGATCTGTTATTTTGTTATACATGGGTACTATATTGGGGACTAGTAGATAAATATTAAAACTTGGTTTCACAGGTGTCTTTTAAACTTCCACAATTTTTCTAAATGAAGTTGTTGAATGGCA